TGTCTCAAAAAGGATCACGTATGTCAATATTTTATACAATCAGATGTAGTCATATTAAGTATTTCAAATTCTCAAAATCATTGTACCCATATTACACATATTAAATACACAATAAATTATACCCATTTTTAATTCCATTAGACAATGAAAAATATTTTCACTCAATTAATAACGACCATTTGAATAGTAACGGTATTAATTTCTTTCAGTCAACACCTTAGTCTATCTTGTACATCATTGAAAGAATACAGTTTATAGACATATTAAGAAACTTGTATAAGCAAATGAACTTAAATGACTTTTTCGCTTGATAGATAACTTTTATTTTTAATAAATTCTGTAGAACTAATAGAAAAATTTTTATCTAGCTAAACATTGATTAGTACAAAGATAATGCATCAAATGTTAACTGACATCAAAAAACAATTAAATTTTATCCAGTTGAACATTGATTAGTACCAAGAAAATGAACTAAATGTTAACTGACAACAAGGAAAAATGAAATTTTAGCTGACAAAAAAAAAAGAATTGAATGTTAACTGATAATGAAGAAAAAACTAAATTGTCAACTGGCCAAAATCATTGTCTTAGCCAAAATATTTCAATAGGGAAGCGTGCCATGTAAAATGACAACATGAATGTCTATAAAAAAAATAAGAATTTTATGATATTCAAACGAAACCATAATATAGTGAACTTACATTCTAATTGGTTCAGTTCCTGGGTTATCTTTCCCAGTTCCATAGACAAAGCACATGTTATGTTGAGTATGTTTGCGAACAATACAGGTTGAACCATGTTATGACAACCAGCTAACATGATTTGAGAAGCACTTAATTGTGCCATACATTCATACTTTTTTTGTTTCACTTGGATTAGCTAAAAAAAAGGAAAAAGTAATTTAAGATAATTGAAAGGTTTCATACTCTCTGGTGATAAAATCTATAAGATACTAGCTACATACTCTGTCTACAATAGGAAATATAGCCATTGAACGTTTTAATGTCTCTAGACCATTCAC